AATGGCTGCAAAGTCCACAAAATAACTCTCATCTACGGAAAGCTACGTAATATGCGTTGAACATAGGCTATAATTTACGCAGGCGAAGTCGCGGGGAAACAGCTAGTTTGATAGAAATTGGTTCACAATTCAAGAAGAAATCGATTGATATACTTACTTAAAAAAAATGACATACTCCTTAAACATAGAAAATCCTCCTTTCGAATTTTGAACGAATTCAAAATATGCAATCTTTTGTTTTTTTAGCTGAAATCTTTTGTTTTTATGAAAAACAGTAGGTAAAGTAAAAAGCCATAGGTAGGTAGGTCTAATAGGTGTCTACTCTTAAGTTTAAGAGGATCAAAATAAAATTACTGTCTATAACATTCAGGACAAATAACTGCGTTGTAGGATCCTCCATCGCACACCTCCACACAATCTCTAAAAGAATTCTTCTGTCAACGAAAATATATGAAGCTAGAAAACCTATGCCCAATAAGTCTATCTATAGGGTTATTACCACATGATGTAATTTCGAAGTCGGTGACCTATTGTTCTAAACTACGCATCAATATAATAATATTTTCAGTTCTAAGAATTGCTGAATAATTTACTACGCAATAACAGATTTCCACGTAGGAAATAAGTAGATGGAGGGGACGCGCGCGCGCATCGGGGCAGATGTCTACGTGACGTCAGTGTATCGTGACCTTTCACCCACCATTCATAGATTTCTGTGGCTTTGAAGAATATACCAATAAAACAGTAAACAAAGAGAATGAATTTTATTAGGTATTAATTCTATAGATAAAGAATTATTTAATAATTAAGACCAATTAAATTGACACGGTCTTATTTTTTCTTGACAGAGAATGATAGTTCTTACGTAAAATCACAAAAACCCGTTAACATCATACTCAAATATTTAGCCGCTGGACGGTTGCTCAAAGTGGTGTACCTAAATAATATCTTTATTTAATATATAAATGGAAACATAACGTTGATTCAAACAAATTATAGTAAAAACGCAACGTTACAATTTAAACAAGTAAAGGTTCAAGAATAGAGCCCTAGGGCACACCATATGATAGGCCCATCCATCTAACTTTGGTTTTCAGCAATATTTACGACTTTACGCCTTTTAGATAGTATACTATTTTTATAATGTAGATAAAATCTCCTTCATGCTACTTATAAAAGAAATAGTCCTGATTCACTGTCTGATTTATCCTAGCCGAATGCAAACTATAGAAGTTACTTTAGATCTTCGGTCAAAAATTATATATAATATTGTAGATTTATTAGATTATTAAAAGAAATATTAATGACCTTTAAATAAGGCAGAATTATGTCCTAAAAAAAACTTCAAATAAATCTACTATCTTTCCGCCAGGTTTCCCCCGTATTGCCTGCTCTTGAATTACTTTATTAATGTTTTTTAAATCGTATTAAAAGCCGTTGTGTATAAGATCTTAGCGGACAGACTATATCGTAAATTTTCGGGTTGTAAATGTGATTAAATGTATAATACCTAGAATCAAAGTATTTTCAATAAAATAACAGAGTTTTGTTTCGGAGCCAACCAACGCGCCAACATGGCAAACATTCACAAATATTTCACCAAATATTTGATGTTACTAGTGATCTATTATATTTTCTTTTTACCAAAAATTTGAACACCAATTAACAAAGCCGTATGCACGAACATATAGATTTGCATCGGTCTGGGTGATTTATATCTAATTCGAGTATCTGTCTACAAAAAAAATATTTAAAACAAAAGATGCGTTACCTTTCAAAGCGACGCATTAAATCATAAAACAGAATGTCAATAATTTTTTATTATAATGATTTATTAAGATGAAGCTTGGCATATACCATCGACTTCGGATCCAGTAATTAGTCGAATAATCTCAACCCAGATCACACATTCCAAAACCTAAAGTTACAGTTAGTTATTTTTATAAACATTAAAATTATAGGTAGTAATCATTTTCTTGTAGGAATTTGTTTCGCCAATTCTTCACATACAAGACTCCCAAATTTTGAAATGATGGCAAAAAACGAACAATAAATTAAATGATTCAAATATTTTATAACGTTTCCATATGATAAAATTTTTAAAAAGTAAAATTAATAATCATTGTACTGTTGTTTACATTAGAAACCTACCTCCCTAAATAGGGGATCGATCACTTTCTAAAAACTGTTTTAAATTAGTTAGTATGTTGGCTTATTCCCACAAAAAATATTATTTAGTGGTTTAACCTTAAAATTTAAATAAACCGAGTTAACGGCAACTCTAGGGACGTGACGTCATTTGTGAGGTAAACAAAAGAGATTTTCAGAGGAAAAAAAATAGTATTGAGTGTGTATTAGATATGAGCGCCGATGGCTAATTCCACGGCGGCGGCGTGGTGTAAAATATTCTACGGCGGCGACGGCGCGCCGGCGTGGTTTACATTTTTTTAAAAATAAATAAAACCATATTATTAAAATTTAAGAAAATATATATTTGAAACAGTTTAATCATTTTTGACAGAACTAATTTAAATCACATTTCCAAAAAATAAAGTAGCATTACTAATTTTAATGAAATAGACCGATGTAAAATTGCGCGTTCTTGAATTGTAACTATTGTTAAGAGAAATTCTACCTATATTGGTCGATCCATGTATCAGCGGTTAATGCACCAAAACGAGGACTTTGATTTATATATTTTTTCATGCCAGCATACTGTTGTACACATCTTCCAGTCCTTTTCGTGCTATATTGTGCCTGGAGGGCACCTCTGCGTCGAAAACAATAATGTTGTTTGTACTTTTTCAAAAAGTCAACCATTGCATCATTTTCCACAGTTTCAAATGGAATCAAAGATCTAGCAAACCAAAGAGCCAAATCTCAAGAAAGACACCACTTATTGCTCTTCTTAAAACTGTGATTTGCTCGGAGGTTGCTACTTTTGTGCATCCTCTACGCCATGTGCTTCTTTCAAATGTCTAAGAAGATAACTTGTGGCTATACCTTTAGAGTAAGCTTTCACCATTAATAGTTACCATTATTACTCATGAGTCGGGGCTGTTTTACTGCTAGTTTTGCTAACATTGTTCAGAGTTCGGTACAATAGACGTCTGCCGCTATTACTTGACCAGATTGAAGAAAACTATAGTGAACAACACCATGCTGAGACTACCGAACAATTTACCATTACCTTTTTATTGGTAAGTTTTGTTTAGGACACTATTGTCGCGTTTCACCTGGGGTCAGCCATTGCATTTTTCTTTTACGGTTATCATAAAGAATCCACTATTATTAGAATCTACTAGGTTATCATAAACATCCAATATTCCTTCATTTTTGTACCGATTCAACAAAGCAAAACAAATTTCAACACGCGATTCTTTCTGCAGATCAGTCAAATCATGAGGCACCCATTTTTCGTATTTTTTTTTATTTTATTGATTTGACGCAAATGAGTTAACATTGTGGGTAAGATAACGTTGAACAATTTTTGTTTGACTAGGATCGGCTTCCACCATCTCTTTTAATTCATCGTTATTCACTTGTGTGGGCGATCTTCTTCGTGGCTTGTATTTTATCAAGTCGAAATTTCCATAAGAAAATGTTTAAACCAAAATCGCACGGTGCGTTCATTAGCAAACCCCTCTCCAAACGCAAAATTGATATTGCGGGCTGCTTCTGGCGCGTTACTTCCACGTCGGAACTCGTATTGAAAAATCAATCGAATTTTCGCATCTTTCTTGCCTAAGTCGATGTTCAAATGTTTCACATTTTTAAAAGAAGAACATCTTAGAAACCACCTGAAAAAAGTTTCTTTCGAAAACCTCAAACCATGAAGATTCTATGTCAATTCAAGGAACCTATTACAATAAAACGGCAATATCATACTTAAACCCCTAATATTTTATTAACCGGTTTGTACGTACATGTCGCGACGGCGCGCCGCGTATTTTGCTCGACGACGGCGCGCTGACGCTAATTCACAGCGACGGCGGCGCGCCGGCGTAGCGCTCATATCTAGTGTGTATAGTCAAACTCATAAAGAAATAATACATTATATTGACCCTTGTAATTTGCTTAAAATCAAATAAATCCTTAAAATAATTTTGAACTTTGAATGTTTCCCGCACTTTTCCTAGATTTTTTTACTATCATTTTACCCACAAATGACATAATGCGCTCTGATTGGTATTTCATTTGACGTGAGACACAGACCACAAATATTGGAAAATTATATTTTGTTGATTGATTTAAAAATAGAAATAATGATCTAACTATTGTCCGGTCCCTTATTAACGCATATTTTACTAAGAAAAAAAATTAATAACGCGACTCACACTTAAATAGTTCGGAACTCAGTTGTCGCCTAGAATCATAAAATATACTCTGTGGTATTATGTTCCTTGGTTGTCGCAGTGAAGGGTACCCACTAAGTCTGTCATGGTGCCGTATTTAAGTATTGTTTTAGTATGCGAGGTGTTATCTTGTATTGTTAATCGAAGAGTTGAGGTTACACAATCATTTCTGAACGCGCCGGGGAAACCGTTTAGCTGTTCACAAATGTCACTTTATTTTTAAATGTGAACGCTAAGATCTTATAGTTGGGTCTGTAAAATAGGCCACATTTGACATCTCTCAGTCTCAAGTTCATACTAACCGTTGACCCATTCTTTAACCGTTGACTCAGTCTTTTTAAGCACTTGGATGTGTTGGAACCGTAAGGTGAAGGTGTAATCCCACTGGAGGATGGAGACAACTGGCAAGGGAGACCAAAGGTAATCGGATGTGGCTTCTTTTGATGACCCAACTATAAGAATCTTATTTGAACACACTGATTTACTCTTTGTCTTTGGGATTCATTGATATTTAGTAACGATTTCAATAAAACTGTTTTTGCGATATCGTATCCGTTGTTGCGTGATAACATATCGTTTTTTTTTTGTCAGATTTTCCTAACTTCTATGGTACAATGATGGGACATCCCTATTAACTCTATGAAAAGACATCATAGAGACTTTAATTTTTTTTTCTTTAGACATCTTTCTTGGTCTGTGTTCCGTTCCGTCAGCTGTGGGCGATATTTTGTTTGTTTTTAATTTATTACTTGCCTAATATTATTGTGATCGTAACCGATTGATACAAAAGCTATTATGTCTCTATATACTGTACCAAAAGACCTAAGAGGGTTGAGGGCTTGTCTGGTTTGCTCTTTGATAAAAGTGAGTACCTCATGGGAATTTTATCGTAAATGTATTAGGAAAAGTTGTTATGACTTTATATACTGTACCAAAAGACCTAAAAGGGTTGAGGGCTTGTGTGGTTTGCTCTTTGATAAATGTGAGTAAGTAAAGGGAATATCATCGTAAATATATTACTCACGCAGTATGCATGAAACATGCATAGTTGAAAACACTGTTGTTAAATTCAATGTCTACCAATAATAAGATTATCGATTTCAATCAACTGCATTTGGCATTGTTTTATCCATCTAACATCAAATATTATTAGTACAAGTCTTGATAAATAAATGATGGCAGAATGCTGTTGACTATGCTTTCTTTTCTGTATTTCTTTGATACTTATTAACAACAGACTAAGTTTGATTATGAATACCAAAAGAAATTTCTTTAGAAACTCAATAAAAATACCTTTTGTTATTTACTGCACATTATTGATAATAACATTGGTTTTTTTTTTATTTTAGACATTTGAACAATTTGAATATGATGGATGCGACAACTGTGATGAATTCTTACGTATGAAAAATAATAAGGACAATGTCTATGACTGTACAAGTAACAATTTTGATGGGTATGTACCTGCAGTCATTTATGTTCAATATACCAATGTCTTTTTATTCAGTGTATCATGACTCCATAATATAACAACCATTTCTATGCAGCATATGCCGTAATGAAGATACGTAGGTTAACTGACATAGACACTGCCAGATTAGTATACTTCAGTTACTTTCATAGTGTGATGTTGTACGGAATTCTATTGTGGGGAAATGCTGCTGACATACAAATGATTTTTGTATTTCAGAAAAGATCAATTAGATCAATTTATAATCTTAGGATTAGGGACTCTTTCAGGGAGAAATTTAAGGAAATAGGCATAATGACTGTTGCTTCTCAATACATATACGAGAACTTAATGTACGTTTGTAAAAATATTGGTTTGTTTTCTATAAAAAGTGATGTACACAATATTTATACAAGAAATAAAAATAAATTAACAGTGCCTGTCACTAGAATATGAGAAGTTAATAACTCATTCAGGGGTCTTTGTGTGCGCTTCTACAATAAGGTCCCAAGCTAAATACAACAATTAGATATCATGCAGTTTAAATCTACTATTAAAATAATACTTATTAAAACAGCTTACTATAAGGTATCGGATTATATAACAAATAAGAATGCTTGGACTTAACATAATCATTTAATAATAATGGAAGCAAGATAATTTTTGATATATAATGAGTTAAGTTAAGAAACTCATTATATATCAAAAATTATCTTGCTTCCATTATTATTAAATGATTATGTTATCATTATAAGACCATAGTTTCTTTTGTTTCTCTCTTTATTTATAATGTATTGATTTGGTGATGGCATGGTTTTTGTAAATGTCATTACTCCTATTAGAGCTGGTGAGTTTCTTGCTCATTCTTCTTATCAGCCAAAAGATGTCCTGAACGAGCGGTAGAGAAAAAAAGTTGGACAATTCAAAAGTACTTTTAAGAAGTCTATTTGAATAAAGATTATTTTGACTTTGACTCTAATTCCAATACTCAATAACTTATGATTAATGTGATATAACTATTTAGATTTTCTTTAAACTATACCAGTAGTCATACAATAGTTGTAGAACATTTCTACATGTAAAATAAATAGATTTAGTTTTTCAAAGCTATAATTAACAATAAAATCTAAAGGCTAATAATATTTTATTTTTAGAATGATAGCAGTTATGAGCCCCGAAGACAGTTGGGTTTGTAAATGGCAGAGAATCAGTAAGTGATAGAAACTATAATACAATAAATTCTTTAATTTTTTCTTAAAATAGAAGACCACTACACATTCTTTGAGGCTCTCTCATTAACCATAAATACTTATAAAGGAACAGACCTTGTAAAGGATCTGAAACACCTGAAAGATATAATTTTTCAAAATACATGCAAAACTAATTTTATATACTTATTTAATTCTGCAGGCATCCTCTGGCAAAGGAAATAATGGTTATATTAAGCGATCCAAATAACTGAATCCCCAAAAATAAGTTATAACATCACAGTCATATAAAATAAGATGAGAATTGGATTTTTTTTATTTTTCCAGGTAGATTTTGCAAGGGAGTATATGCTATATCAGTATCAGGTAGACTGCCAGCTGGGGTTATAAGAGAAATGAAAAGCCGTGGATTGGTATATCGGCCAAGAGATACAAGCCAACGATAATAAATATTGTAATTAAATGAAATTAGGTTAATAATAAATATAGTTATAATCAATTGTCTATAATATTTTTTTATTCTCATAAAATAATCTTGGAGATCTACTTAAGAAATAAAAACAAAGAACATCAATATTATTAAGTAGTAACAAGCAACTATCCAATTCAGTAAATTAAAAATCATATTTAAAGACTTTTTTGTGGTTTATTGTGATTTTTAACTTAAAAGGCCCATTATATACATGCTAGTGTGAGTTATTTTTCCTCATAATTTAAGACGTAACTGGAAATTGCAATGTCACTATTAATATCTTGTATGTCAAGAATATCCTATTAATATTATAAAGGCGAAAGTTTGTAAGTATGGATGTATGGATGTTTGTTACTCTTTCACGAAAAAACTACTGGACGGATTTGGATAAAACTTTACAGCAATATAGGTTATACATCAGAATAACACATAGGGTACTTTTTACTGGGAAAACTTCTCACTCCCACGGGATACCGACTTCCACGCGGACGAAGTCGCGGGCGTCCACTAGTCTTTTATAAAGTGACACCATGTGGTAAATATTTAGAAAAAGCATGTTTCTATAAAGGTTTCAAAGACTATTATTATTGAAAGACTATAAAGGTTTCGAAGACTATTAAAATATTATTATTGAAATAAATTAACTTCATGTAACAAGCATAAGCATCAGGATTTGATTTTTTGGCTTATCATAAATATATAATCTCACTAGCACTACATTTCATTATGGTATTCTTATGGAAGCATCCAGTGGCGTATTGTGAATTTGTGGGGCTCTAGGCTAATACTAGTCAAGAGCTTATCAATTACAGAATTGTAATTTTGATAAGAGACTTTTCAATAGTAATGTAAAAGTACTGTATTGTATATTATATTTATGGGAGGTAGAGCACCCTTTGTATCCACGGGGCCCTGGACTTAAGCCTGTTAAGCCTTTAGGTAGAACCGCCTCTGGATGGACCTCTCCTCTTTGCACTTAAAGAACTATAGAAAAAATGAGTATGAGTGAAAATTCACCCTGGTTAATAGTAATAGGTCTTATTTTACTATTATAGTTTACTCTAATTTACAACGTTCATTATATTTATATCCATTGATAAAACCCCAGCATGTGGCTGGGTTTAATGCACACATCAGGTTAAATTGTTGTCAACTGCTATTATCTGTAGGTGCCTTAAATTCATTCTCAGTACCAAGTACATCTTTATCAATCTCCTTGAAATCTATATTCTGTTCTTTCATAGCATTCTGTAAATTAATATTAAAGTTAATAGATTATACAAACCAATGTGTTTCATAATGTTACATGGATTAGAGAACTCAGCCTAAAAATTATCAAATATTGACAAATCAAAAGTCTAATATAATATAATACCTTTACACATTCCTGATAAATTTTGAAAATTCCAGAGCAGATAGTATCATCATTATCACCCTTCAAAAATTTTTCCGAAAACCATGTGTTAAAACAATCATCATATTTTTTCTTTAACTCTGTGCATTCCTCTCCGATACTGTTCATAATTACCTATTCTTTATTTTATTTTTCTTAGACAGATAAACTTTTACTAATGATAAATTTGGATCTTTTTCTTATATTATTTGCACATTTCACACAATTCTATCAATGTGAAGTGAGTAGTAAGTAGTAGTAGTAGTTTCGTCTCAAATGAATTTATTCCTACATGTAAAATATCGATAGATTTGATTAAAGTCAACACTAATATATCAGATAGAGTTTGGCAAGCGAAACGTGACACCACCTATTTTTCCGTTTTCATATGGCAACAACATAGAACTGTCAGTTTGACACTACGTTAGACAATCCAAGAATATTGAATTTTGTTGTTTTTGCGAATTTGAACTTGTGTTTTTGGTTAAAAATTATGTCGAAGCCGATAAAAAGTTCATCGAGGAAACTTCTTTCCATCATGATTGACAAGTTTACTGAAGTGAAAACTGAATTAAATAAAAATTTCATGGAGAAATTACAACGATTAGATAAAGTTGTATCTTTTTTAGATTAGTTTTGTATTATAATTTTGATACTTTCGTTTTAATTTTCTGTAATTAACTAAACAGATATTTTTTATAAAATATTGCTCTATTTCAGATAACTGTGATGGTGATATTCAACCAATAATGGAGGAGATAAATGCAATAAAAACTTTAGAAAAACAAAAAATGCTGAATTCGGAAACGCAGTACTTACAAAAAATTTCTTCAATGACAGGTCTCTTTTCTTGTTTTGATTTAAGATAGATTGATAGTATTCCTATAATATTTACATAGGTTTTTTATGATGTATTGGTTTTTATTGTTGACATCCAATGATGTCATAAGAATGTTTTGTTTAACAAGGAAATTCACAGAATTCATGAAACTAATCAAACCATGTAATTGTTATACATGCTAAATATGCACATAAACTTAACTAAATTAAACATAAATTGCATTCATAGTTGAATAGGTATTTAAATTATTTTGATGTATGTGTCTATCATTATTTGCTTTTAAATACATTTAACATATCTTTGTTTCAAAGTGTTTAATCTTTTATAGATGTAAGTATAAGGACACTAAGAAGGATAAAAAATGAAGCATTAATTAATAAAGGAAAATGGGACACTCCTGGGAAAAAACGACCTCATCAACCAACAGTGTCTGCTTTAGATAATTTTGATTTAAGTGCAATTCGGAATAAAGTAAATGAATTTTACTGTGTGAAAAAAATTGTTCCAACATTAAGAAGCCTTCACAATGAATTAAAAGATGCAATAGGATTCAGTGGTAGCCGTGAGACTTTACGAAAAATTATGCTTAAGAATGGATTTTCTTTTAAAAGCAATGAAAATGAACGTTCTATGCTTATAGAAAAATACCAGATTTCTGCATGGAGGCACAAGTATTTGAGAGAAATAAATATAAAACGAAACGAAGGAAAGCAAATTGTGTACCTTGATGAAACTTATGTACATCAGAATTATAAAGTTAAAAAGTCTTGGCAAGGACCTTCAACAACTGGTGTCACTACAAAGATATCCTCTGGAAAACGGCATATTGTTGTGCATGCTGGATCTGAGGAAGGTTTTGTGCCTGGTGCATTATTAGTGTTCAGTAGTAAATCCAAATCTGCTGATTATCATGATGATATGAACTCATCGAACTTTATGAAATGGGTCAGAGAAAAATTAATACCAAATTTAAGTAAGCCCAGTGTAATTGTTATGGATAATGCCAGCTACCATATAAAACAAATCAATAAACCGCCTATAATGTCTAATACCAAAGCAGATATCCGTAAATGGCTTGTAAATAATGGAATACATTTTGAGGAATATCAGACAAAGGCAGAGTTAATGTGTTTGGTTAATGATAAGAAAACATTGCCTGTATATGAAGCTGAAGAGATTTTAAAAGAACATAATCATGAACTTTTATTGCTGCCACCGTATCATTGTGACTTAAACCCAATAGAGATGGTTTGGAGTCAAGCAAAAAGAAAAATTGCAAGCAGAAACATTGGAATACCAGGAAAGGAAATGGAAAACTTAATAATAGAGTGTTTTAACTTAATTACCCCTAGTGACTGGAAGAAATACACTGATCATGTTTTAAATGTCGAAAATGATTACAAATTAAAAGATGGCATTGTTGAAAACGAACTTGAAAAATTTATTATATCTGTTGGTGCAGACAGTAGTGAAGAGAGTGACTCTGATGATTCCTTGTCATTGTTATCAGGTGTAGAATATTTAGAAACAGATTTTGACTATGAATCAGACTAAAGTATTTTTAGTCTGATTCATAGTCAAAATCTTATCTTAAATTTTCTATTGTGATTAACATGATGATTTTGTGACACCTGTATTATGTAATTTATCCATGGCACTTAATTGTAACAAAAATAAATGTTTTTTTTATTGTAATCTGGTGTTTATATTGACTAATTTAATTTGATAGATAGTGGTTCTGGATCAGAGCAAAAGGTTGTGATGAAAATCCCTTAGGAGACATGTATGTGTTATGAACACATTATAAATATAAGGGCCAGAAATCAAAATTGGCTAACATCACATTTATTAAAAAAATGTGGCCAGAGTCGCCCATATTCATTACAAAAAAACAAAGAAGTCGTTGCAAAAAACACCCTTTTAATTAATGACAAATATGAATTTTTAATATTATAAGTGCTGTTAGCCAATAGGTATAACGAATGGGTTAAAAAAAAGATTCGATTTAGTCCGTCAGTCAGATAATAGAAAAATATTGGATACGTATTTTTTTTCGCTTTAATTTAACAACAAATGGCTTAAGAGGTTCTATGCGACGACTTCAAATATGCTTTGCAACAATGTTACTTTAATACAGTTTATCGATACGAAATCAAGTGTCAAAATGGAGTCCAGTGGAGAATGCCGATATTGACATTTCGAAATTGCTCATCATTGATAGAGAATACGAAATAGTGATTTTGACACAATCAAAGTGTCTATTTTTTACGGTGATGACGATTCTTGGTTGTCAGTTGAGTTAGTGAATAGGCCTACTGATATGCTGTTAACTGTACAATTAAGAACAGTCACGCTTTAGTCAAATGTTCCAAAACAAATAATTTTAATTGATATCTAAATGTTAAGATTAAATATAATTAATAAAAGTATCAAAATTATTTTGCAGTACTACATTCAGTGTTTACTGCTTAAGAATTTTTGAAATTGCCGCCCTTTTCTTGTGACACGTTTCGCTTGCCAGACTCTACCTATATACATATCGATATATCTGCGCTCAAAAATGTCGATATCGAAGAAGCAGTGATATCGAATTAGATAGTATCTTAGACTGTGATCGAGACTCAAGAAATACTAAAGATTTGATTTTCATAAAAAAAGACAATCATTTTATTTTAGAAAAGACGGGAGTATTCAACTTTGAGTTACGGAGAATTTAACTAGAGTTAAATTAAAAATAAAAATGTCATTGTGATATTAACTGTCACTCACATGCGTCATTATTTTTGAGGTTAGAGATTTCAGATTCGAGTATTTTTGCAATAATTCTTAAATAATGGGTGATATTTTAAAAGATAGTAGATTTAGTAAATACCTAAGTGATCCACGGTACAGGCAAATACCTAAACATGAGCGAAAAGTAAAAATTGACAAAAGATTTCAGTCTATGTTTAATGATGAAAAGTTCAAAGTCAAATACACAGTGGATAAACGCGGCCGGCCAGTGAATGAAACATCTACGGAAAATTTGAAAAAATACTACGACCTTGAATCAGATAATAGTTCTGACGACGTGGGTAATGAGTCTGATACATCTGTAACAAAAGACGAAAGTGTAGCAAATACAACTTCTGATCGGGTTCATAAAGTAACTGATGACGAAGAGAAACAAATCTTTAAAAATGACAAATTGATACGTGGTAAACTGGATGAAAAAACTGCTACTAGATTGTTGGACCTAGATATTGATTATGCCCGTGGTGAAGGTATATTTATATTAAACTAGCTTTCCTCCAGCGGCTTCGCCCGCGTGATCCCCAGGGAACTATAATAGTGGGATATAAGGATCCTATTGTCTAAGTCAACTAATATCCTATCTGTATACCAAATTTCATCAAAATCCGTTCAGTAGTTTCAGCATGATTGACAGACAAATATTCATACAAAGAAACTATCACATTTATAATATTAATAGGATTAAAAAATATATTAAGTTAGTGTTAGTTTTCAACAAATAATTAATATTCAGAGTTTTTCTGAGTAAGTACTATAAATGCGAAACTTTGTGAAGTTTGTTACTCTGTCACACAAAAAGTGCTAAACAGATTTTGATAAAATTTAGTATATAGATAATTCTAGACCTGGATTAAAATACAGGCTACTTTATATACCACTAATTAGTTGCCTTGGGATGAAAGTACTGTCAAGTCAAATAAGCAATGCCGGTGATGTTGCTGGCCCAAAATTAGTTCCTATAATTAAGATTTTCTACTCAAAAAAATTATAAAACAGTGTTTTTTTTTATATTTTTATTTTCAACATTTATAAATGTGTATTTGTACCTAAATTTTTCAGGGATTTTAATGACAGATAGTTCTTCAGATGAAGTCAGTAGCTCAGAAGAAGAAGAAAGTGAACTAGAACATGAATGGGGTGAATTAGATGCAGATGCAGAGAGAACAGAAGAATCCACCAAAAGGTAAAATTGATATTGTGTGGAGTTTTTAAGCATTTTTCATTAAGAATAAGAAGTTTTGTCCTTTAGTATGATACTGTGTTGTGTAGCCAAGAAAATATTCAAACTGTATATATTTGGGACCAAACCTGAATAATTCAGCTGAATACAAATAGGGAAAAAGATGCTGCCCGTCCATTAATCACGTGAGGCTCGAGGGGGGAGGGATTCGTCAAAAATCACGAAATATCACAAATTTTGTTGGTTTTATAAAATACATGTGATTTCATTGAAGGAGGGAGGGGGTAGTTCTAAACCTCACCAAGGGGGTGGGAGTTATTAAAAAATATTGAAAAAACATCAACAGATTAATGGTCGGCCCCTTAAGTAAAGAGTAAATCGAATAGTATTCAGTTATTCAGTCAAACCTTTATTCGGTACATCTCTAAAACAATCATAGTGCTGCTAACTGCATGAACTTAACTACTTGTATGGACACTGTACTGTAGTCTGACATTTTATACAGTCATACCTGCAGAATATCACACTCCATAGCTAAAGCGAAGCATGTAGTAAAATATAAAATCTTATGGAAGCCTTTTCTTTTCAGAATCGCCTTGTGTAATATGGACTGGGATAACATTAAAGCTACTGATATAATGGTGCTGTTGAATTCTTTCCTACCTCCTGGAGGAATTATTCTAAGTGTCACTGTAAGTATTAGCTATACATAGTTTATAATTTATTTATATGGCGGTCTGCAACATGAGTTGCATGATAGATTACTGTCTAAATGTCAAAGTACCTAAGTATTTTCTGTGGCAATTCAGAAGAAAATACTGTTATATTCTTCTGTAGTTCTGTTGTCTTCACTACAGTTATTCTTGTCTTCATTCATGTTGGCTCAAGATTTTTTATAAGTAAGGATCATATTGCCTTATTTTTTCAATTAAGAACCAGATTGATTAACAAGACGTTTATATGAAATAACAAACATATATACAAGGGGTGTTCAAAAAGTAGTGAGGGCTATGTTAGTATGTTGGGGAATGAAGTTATTTTTTATTTTTCGACGTAATCACCCTTTAGGTCAATACATTTAGTTCGTAAATCGTTTTTCTAGAGCCAAAATTCCCTTTTTAAAAAAATCTTCATCTTGAGTACTTAAAAAATCATTAACGACGGCCTTCACTTCTTCGTCATCTTCAGATTTTGTGCCTCTCAAGTGTTCTTTCAAATGCGGAAATAAGTAGAAATCACTAAGTCCGGTGAATATGGCGGATGATCGAGGACCTCAAAGCCAGCATCTTGGATTGCTGCCATGGCAACTACAGACTTGTGGGCCGGCGCGTTGTCTTGATGGATCAAACTTTTCACGTCACTTTTCCTCGTCGGTTTTTAAAGATTTCCTGATGTAATTTTTTTGTTTGTTCTGATCCATGTTCAAGGTATTCAATCATTATCAACCCCTGGCTGTCCCAAAAAACTGAACCCATGCCGGCGGATCGTTGACTTTTTTTTGGTGTGGGAGATGTCGGTCTTTTCTAGGACATTGATTGTTTTTTCGTTTCTGGAACATAATGATAAAGCCATGTTTCATCCATTGTTACGAATCGAGCCAAAAAAAGATCAGAATCTCGTTGAAACAGTTTCAATGAGCTCTTTGAAATGTTGAGTCGCGTTTGCTTTTGTGCGTCCGTTAGCATTCTCGGGACCCAACGCGCGAATACCTTTTTAATTCCTAAGTGATCTTGCAAAATGCTATGCACACTACCACTTGAAATCTTCAACTCTTCAGCTATAAAACGGACAATTACACGGCGATCATCCAAAACAATTTTTCTCGACCATTTCCTGAGTGACTGACGATGAAGGGCGGCCCGAGCGCGGGTCATCTTTAACCAATGTTCTACCACGTTTAAACTGCACACCACCGACCAACTGTGGAATATGGAGGAGCAGACTCTCCCAATGTCTCACATAAATCTTTAAAAATTTGTTCCGTAGTAAAATTTTTCAAGCAAAAGTATTTTATTACTGCACGGATTTCAATTTTATCCATTTTTTGCGAGAGTTAACGACGCGTCACAAACAAATAATTAATACAACTGACGCAGACAAGATAGAAACCTAATTATTTGAGGGTATTATAACAAAGACCTAATCTATCTGTGACCATAATTTTTTTTCAAGTACGCTCCATTACTACGTCATTATCACTACTTTTTGAACTCCCCTCGTAAACAGGTTAAAATAATGGAAATCGAACCAGATGAATTTGTTAGTTTGTTGGTATCATAAATGAAAAGATTCTTGTATTCAACTGACACTGCTCTCCAGCAGTATATTATCTCAAGTGATAGGTATTATTGCCAAATTTCCAACAAACCCGTCTCCCTCATTAGCCATCAAATTAGTCGCTTATTAGAACTAGAAATAATTATCTTTGCAACAATTTCTAGGTTTATCCTTCCGAATTTGGAATTAAAAGAATGCAAGAGGAAGAAGTGCGCGGCCCTATTGAACTCACACAGATAGCCAAGGAAGATTCATCAAATGAAGAGGACAATGAAGAAGGTAAATTAACTACTAACAGAATTGAAACTTATATTATTTACTAGCTTTCGCCCGCGTGGTCCCTAGGGAAATGTTTAGTAAGATAAAACGTATACCAATATACCAAATTTCATCAAAATCCGTTCAGTAGTTTCAGCGTGATTGACGGACAAACATCCAAACAAAGAAACTTTCACATTTATAATATTAATAGGATTACTATGCTAATATTAAAAAGGGTAAAGATTTGATTTTTTGTTTGCATCAGGTTTCGAAAATATTGAACCGATTTTAAAAATTCTTTCACGTATGACAAGTATAAACTATAATTTATAAGGGTGAAGTCATCGGAAAACAGCTAGTTATAAATGTAAAAATATGTGTTATATGCTCTCCTTATATGACAGCGATTTCTGAAAAGCTTTCAATTCTTCTCAATGTTTGGGGCCGTCCATTAATAATCAAGAGAATTTTTGAATTATTTTATAACCCTTAATGATCTGTGGTGAGGTTTAAGACTATTTTATAATATTAACTTTAATAAAACGCAGCTAAAAAGTACATATTATCTAATTTTATTTTAGAAAATGATCCTTAACCTTAATAAAATGTCTAGACAGAGGTTGTAGGTTATTTGAATGGAACAAAAGTAATAAAAAGTAGAATGTGATATCTCACTACACCCCCCTCCCCCTTGTGATGTTTCGTGATTAATGGATGGCCACTTTTATGTAGGTCTCATTTGATCGTGGCAATTAAAAAAATGTGTGTGGAACAGAAAGGAGTTTGGACTTACTTTTAGTTTCTTCGATAGCCCAGGGTATTAAGCCTCTGGTCGTAAGTCTCCCGCGTTGTTCTGGGATAATTTAGTTATCGTCCTAACTGCCCGAGGGTTGACACAGCGTTGATTTCCTAAGTATTTGCTGTATACACTTTCGCGCTTCAAGATTTGGTTAGAATGGGACCTTGCGGGATCGACATTCGCTATGGCGGCGGAGTTGCAACAGACAGCTCTCAGGGACTGTCTGTCTACCCTCGATTATTTTATATTTGTTAGGGAAAGGTAGGTAGGCGGATGAATAAAGTTGTGTTACCATATTCAATAACTTCGTAACCCATTTCGAAACCGAACAATATGTATTTGTTGCTACTATAAAGTATTTAATGTTTTTAGGGTCATCGTACCACATGGAAAAATTGCGACGATACCAATTGAACAGATTGAAGTATTATTATGCGGTCGTTGTCTGTGACTCTGTGGTAACAGCCGATAAACTCTATAGCGAATGTGATGGTATGGAATATGAAAGTAGTGCCACGCGACTGGATATGAGATTCATACCAGATGATGTTACGTTTGACCAGGTAACTACATGTTTTTCAATTTTAATCTAGACATGTAATGAGGCAAATTGCAAAAAAGAACTCTATTAACATTAACCGATACAGCTTAATACTATTTGCTAAATGCCGATGTCTGAACCAGGGGACTTCGCTCTTCTATAACGTGATTTCTAATTTTAAAAGCAATAATTTGGTTAATTTTCCCTAAATACATTTAATTCATTAAACATAAGTGTGTGCATGAGTGCGTGCGTGCGTGCGCACGTATGCATGTGTGCGTGTTTAGATATAATTTATTAATTTTTCGAATTTTCGTGTGACGACAAATAGAAAAAGTCCCTCAGGTGTTATATTAATTCGTACGAGTTATAAATATATGTGACAAAGTACTATATTTATTGCTTTCTAAAAATGTGCAGGATATTGATATAACAAATCATTGTTTAAGGAACCTCGGGAAGTATGTACAAAGTTACCAGATATGTCTAAGTACAAACCCCGCCTTTTCACAACTACAGCATTACAACAGGCAAAGGTGGAACTCACTTGGGATGCCACCAATCCTAACAGAGCTGAGGTGATACGTAATGCACTTGACGGCAAAATCGACGATCTTGATCTTAAAGAATATTTGGCGTCCAGTACAGAAGGTAAATAAGTATTGTAAATCGTTTATTGCTCGAGACAGATGTACACATACTTGACCACCTAGGCCATGTAGTACTAGCTGTCCCTTTTTTAATCCTAGATTCTGAAATAGGGGTGATATAAGTTTGACGCGTCTGCCTGTCTTTGAGTGGGGTGGTTTTATTCATCGCAGTGATTGTTAGCTGTGTTTTATGAACATCAGATAAATAGATTACAAGACGAAATAGCTACTTTTTTCAATTATTTTTACTTACAGCATCCTATCTTGTAATCGAATATTAGTTTGTTTTTTCGATAGCCTTTTTTATCAAGATTATTTTGAGATATATTTTTTTTGATCACATAATTTAAGCACAAGACATGAATTTACTTTCTTGACAGTGTTTAATGAAAGAGATTATACTTATGTTGTGGTGAAATATTATAATTTCTCATTGCTATATTGTTGGTATGTTTCAGTGTTGAATATACATGCCTACTGCAGTAATAATATCCATTACTTAGACATTTATTACACCCATTCATTTAAGAATTTGTTATGAATATAAAGTAAAGATCCTGTATTTCATCATTTAAATTTTGGCCCTCCATATTTTATGCCATTATTAGCTGCCGAGCCTACTGTGGCCTTGGGTAAATCCGCCACTGCATATTGATTAAAACGATAAAATATCTAATATTTATCTATATAAATTAAATAATGTAATATTCATAATAAAAAATGCTTAAATAATCCACTTGGTCCTTGGCACCCTGAGATGGGATTCGAACCCATGACCTTTCGCATTCCGGGCGACTGTTCTAACCACTGAACTTCACAGGACCTAACAGGACTTACAAAGTTTTCAAGCACTTATTGCTTTTTCACTATTACAGAGCGTGTTTTCATCAATGTTCAGGCAATCCACCCAAACTGCCGAAAGAAATATTTTTACAAATACTTAAACTTTCAATAAATATGAAAAAAAAATCTAATCATTATATATGATCAAATTTGCATTCACAATGCTATGGTGAAAAATAATTCTTGATAAAAAATAATATTGTTGAACTGAAGAGACAATCCGGGCGACTGCTCTTACCACTGAACTACCCAGGACCTAACAGAACTGACAAATCTTTCAAGCACTTGTTACATTTTTGCTACTACAGAGCGTATTCTCATCAATATGTTCAGGCAATCCTCCCAAACACCTTTTTTAAGCATTTTTCAAAGATCAAATATATAATTAAATAATATAAATTATTGAAATCATATCATTTTACTTTCTTATTTAGATGAAGATTCAGCACAGGAAGTGAACAACATACAATCAGATGAAGATGATGATGATCCAATAAAAAAATATAAATCTCTTCTAGAGGATATAGAGAAGAAAGAAGAAACTAAACACAATAAAGATATGGAAATGGAAATCACATGGGGATTGGGGAAAAAGGATAAAGCAGAAGAATTAGTAAAGAAGAAGTTAAACAATGGTAACCATTTTCTTAGTAGTATGTCACAGTTTCATTAATTTTAATGATTTTTTTATTAGACAATATCATACACATTGGTCTGATTCTCTAGATAAATAGTTAAAGCCCTCGTATCTATAACATAGAATGTACCTTAACAGATAGACCCGCGGCAATATAGAAAAGTTCATTTTCTACATTGATCCGACCGGGAATTGAACCCGGGTCGTCAAAGATGGCGACATTTTGTAAACAGCGTGCGCACCACTCGGCTATATGGTCAATATGTTTATAAAAAGACAAAGTTTATAGTTAAGTTTTAATTTTTTATTGGAAAATAGCTTCACTTAACTTAGTTTTTTTGCTGGTTTTTCTCACTTCAAAAGGTAGAAATAATATAATCTTCCGCCTTAGATTTGCAAACCGATGATGTCATAGATTACGACTTTCACAAGTGCTTGTTTCTCTCTAGACTATATAAATGATATTGAATTTTGACTGACTGATACTAAACGAGAAAAAACTGATAACTTTAATTATCACTTTTCAGATAAAGTATTAACACCATTTGAAAAAATGATTGAGAAAAGAAAGGAAAAAAAGAAGCAGAAAAAATTAAAAAATAAACAAGCTTTAGGCAATACCATGAATGATCTGTCTGATAATGGCACTCAATCATCTGAAGATGAAATCCCATCTGACATTGATATGAATGATCCATACTTTGCCGAAGAATTTAATAAATCTGAATTCAAAAAAGGCAAGCATCGAAATAAGACACAGAGTGCAGAAACAAATCTTGAGGAAGATGACGAAGAAAAAAGGAAAGCAGAATTAGAACTGTTACTGAATGATGAAAATGATGGAAAAGCTCATTTCAGTCTTAAAAAGATTCAGGATAGCGAGAGTATGAATAAGAAATCCAGGCGGAAAAAGAAACAAAAACAAAAAATGGAAGAACAGCAATCTAATTTGCCTGATTTCGAAATAAATGTCAACGATGAACGGTTTTCGGCATTATATAATTCACACCACTTCAATATTGATCCCACTAACCCGAATTACAAGAAAACTAAAAATATGGAAAAATTAATTCAAGAAAAATTAAAAAGGAGACCAGCAGATGTTCCAATTGAAAATGAAACCCAGATAAAGAGATCTAAAGAAGATGCCGAACTAAATATATTGGTAAAAAATATAAAAAGAAAAACTAAAAACGCATTAAAAAAATAAAAATACTTTATGTAACTATATATTGTCTTTGTCTTGTGTTTGGTTAAAAAAAAAATCGTCAGACAATAGAAATATATTAGCTACGTTTTTTGCTTCAATTTAAAAGAATTGCTTATTTAATAGGCATTTATGTTGAAGAGTGTGGGTTATGTCATAACTATGTAGCAAATGTTCAAAACGTGACGTCATACTCAATTTCAATTCAATGTAACGCCGTAATTTCTTGATTTCGCAAAAGAATGTAAAAATATGTTTAAAGTCCTTCAAAAATCTACCTGACAGACAGACATATAAAAATTAGTCATTATCCCTATTGATTAAGCCTAATTTCAATGTTTACTATGGATTAAAAATTTGGTTTTATTTTTAGCTATTCATGCAAGTGACATTACTACATATATTAGACATTAGACAAAATCACAAACATTGCTTAGATTCCAAATTAACTAAGGCACTTGTATTATGGAAATCAAAGTCAAAATAATCTTTATTCAAATAGACTTCTTAAAAGTACTTTTGAATCGTCCAACATTTTTTTTTCCTACGTTCAGGACATCTTTTCGCTGATAAGAAGAACGAGCAAGAAACTCACCAGCTCTAATAAGAGTAATGACATTTACAAAAACCATGTCATTACCAGATCAAGACATTATAAACAGAGATAGAAAAAAAGCTATGGTCTAATAATGATAACATAATCATTTAATAATAATAGAAACAAGATAATAAGTTTAGAAGTAATTACCTATCCAGTTGCTAGATCATCACAAGTCCAAGCGTTCTTATCTGTTATATAATCGGATACCTTATAATAAGCTTTTTAACAAGTATTTTTTAATAGTAGATTTAAACTGCATGATATCTAATTGCTGTATTTTGCTTGGGACCTATTTGTAGAAGCGCACGCAAGACCCCTGAATGAGTTATTAACTTTTCGTAGTCTAGTGACAGGCACTGTTAATTTATCCTAAGATTATAAATTGATCGAATTGCTCTTTTCTGAAACACAAAAATTCTTTGGCAGCATTTCCCCACAATAGGATTCCGTACGACATTACACTATGAATTCGAGACAACGAATACCTTCATTGTTTCCCCACATTTCTTCCTTCATAGTTAAACAAAAAAGTATCATTCCAATCCACTGTCTAATTTACGAGAAATAAATTGTCAAATATATAGACACACAATATATATATACATATACAAAAAACACGTGTGCTATACACGTGTTTAGAAGCGCATATAAACTAACATATGTAGACACATATCATAGGTTAAATTGAGATCCTCTTTTTTATATCAGTTAATGACGTACATACATACTCAGATAAACTGACGGCCTCCTTTTTTTGAAGTTGGTTAAAAAGAACGTCATCAATATTAATTCCTTTTTAAAACTGTTACTTTTTTTACTCCTTTTATAAACAGCTTCAATTTTAATAGGTTATACCTTCAAAACTACTGAATCTATTTTAATGAAACTTGTAGCGTTAAGCGTACCCAAGTCAAGAATCATTGCAATCCGATGTCTAGTTTGCAAGAAATACGTAAAATTTTGCACATGCATATTGCATATTTAGAAGCCTATACAGACCAACATTTAATGTATCCTAATCGTTAATTTGATATATTAATAGTGTGCTAACATACCGCACGTAGCGTTATATATGCTAGCTGATTTATATTAATTTTACAGCAATCAGTTCTTGTAAGTAAGGAATAAGTAAAAGAAAAAAGTAATGATAAAGTAAGGAATATAATTTGTCAATGTATAATAAAGTAGACATGATAAATATTTCACAAAAAATCACTTTAACAAAATTAATACAAGATTTCAATACATGTTAATTCTTACTCTAAAGTGAAATGCTTGCTGCCAAGGCTTTTTTTATTTCTCTTCCCAATGCTGCTCCAAGCGGGGGTGGAACTGCATTTCCTACCTGCAAAATTCAAATATATTTAATATGTTTTTATTAATTACATAGACTGATTATGGTTATGCTGCTTTATTAGAAATAAAAAATAATATTGAAGTCTGATTTTACATGAGTTATAATTTATTCACATTTCATACTTTTTAGTACAAACAATAACAACTATGCTAACATCGAAATTAAACGTCATTGTAGTAAGAAAATAGGGAAGAACGACTTAATTTTGTTTGTTTGTGCGTCAAGTATAGTATTGAAAACAAATTACGCGATACATTTAGTTGAAATGTCATATGACTACATGCTTTTTTTATATATTTTCTATAAAACTGTGACGTGGCTGAGAGGGGACTCCTTAACTTAAATGCCTATTATCTAAGCAATTACTTGTTTAAATTTTAGAACAAAAAAAATACGGCTCTAATATTTATATCTGGCTGACGGACTTAATAGATAAATTTTTTTACCCAGTCGTCATCCCTATTATAGCGATTAGTTTGAAACATTGGAACTTCATATTTGTGTTGTTGAACGTCATATTTGTTTTTAGTTAAGATCTAATTTCAGTTGGTCTGTAAGTATTTCAATTAGATAAGATAAATAAAACAACCTGATGCAAATCATTAAGTTTTGTGATATGATAGTACCTGTCTATGCTTGTCCTGTAAGGAGCCCGCGAATACATAAGTATCAGGGAAGCCCTGCGAGCGCGCACACTCGCGCACGGACACTACACGGTTCTGTTCCGGGTGGAGGACACGCCCCTGCTTACCCATCGGCTCTGGATCGGTCACAGTTGTGCTGAAGTACCCATCCCATGATATGCGACCTGCGTTAAACCCATCAATGTTAAAATTCCACTATTTGCTGCGACTAAGGCCATTTTATGGCTCGATGCGATGATTTTTTAGGCATATTTCAAGACCAAATTTCAGCTTCAAATGTCGCTGTGCCTCAATTATGCGAAACATAGATACTGACAGATTATGAGAGTGTGTCTTGCTTGTCGGTACAATGGCACGGACGGGTCCTGTGGAACGTAGATACTGACCGTAGAGTCCAGCCCAGTTGTTGTGACGGTTGCCAGTGTGTGGTAGACACCAGGGTATGAGCGTGTTTTCCTGCTTGTCTGCGGAGGAACAAACTCCACCGGCTGCGCAAGCGCACACCCCACGAAGAGCGCCGGTAGATGATCGACCATTCTTCTTATCTTCGTAACGATATTGCAAAACCTGCATAATTATTAATGATAGTATTACGACATAATGTCTCCATCATAGTATAATATACTATCTAATACTGTATATTTAGCACAAAGACACGGTAGTTCCATGATTTTTAATAATAACAGCTATATTTCCAGTAAATTAACAATTGTGCCATGTTTTTCATGCTAGTTTGATCTTTATTATGGGAACCAATGCATACACTCATCTCACCTCATAATATGAGGAGAATATCCTGTACGGCACAGAGGAAGTAAGTAAATTAACAGAGCTCTTGGAAATAGCAGTAAAATGACACAATTCTATTACAAAATCAGGAATAGAAATCAACTCCGTTTAAACAGCCTAGATACGTACATCTATAAAAAAAATATCACCATTTTTAGAGAACGTAGTCTCATAGGTGACACGAGACCACGTTCACGTTTCCTATTGAATATAGGATAGATGAAAGACCATTTAGAATCGTCATTAGGGCCGTCCATAAATCACGTGATGTTTTTGCAACTTGGAACGATTAATGAGTTAACACCAAGTAAAAGCGATGTTGAAACCCTCATCACGGTACATAATTTGGATATTGTCCTAATTTGCGAACCACATTCCACAATATTATTTTTAGGGACTATAAATAATATTGTGGAAGTGTGGAATGTGGTTCGGAAATTAGGACAATATGGTGGTGAGTGAGGTATGTACACATACTTCACTCACCACCCTGACGGTACGGCCCATGCCGGTGCAGCGATTATAATTAAGAAGTCAATCGAATATCACCCAATGCCTGTTTTCCCAACAAAATACCTCCAGGCAACCACAACGGCGGTTGAAACTCGTACAATTGGCACAATTATGGGCTCTGCTGTGTATTTCAGTACGCTTAGGAACCGCTTCGTGTCGAGCTGGGACTGGAACTCTAAGAATACCTTGTGGGGATCTAGTTTAATAACCACAAGGAGTAGGCAGCTGAAGCTGGCTCTCAACAACAACAATTTACTACAGAGTCTACCTTCGCGCCAACATATTGGCCAATGGTTACGAACAAAATCACTGATCTGCTAATTTCTTTATTGTTAAGGGGATGACGAAAGAATTCCAATTCAATCAAATCCAATTCCAAACCTGCATCTTGCTATGACAACACATCAGATAATCCAGTTCTACTGAGCATGAGTAATTTACCATCTGAATATATTGAATTTGAAAAGTTGTGAAGAAAGCATGAAAAAAAATTGAAAAAAAATGAAAAAAATTTACAAGAATATTTACTTAATTTCCGGGGCCCCTGAGATATAGAAACATGTTGGGGATGTATTTAATTTGGCACTGTGTCCAGGGGGCCAACCTCTGGTCACTTCGGTTATGGCCTAACTCGACGTCATAACCAAAGGAATAGGTACAGGTGAGTTTATTTTTTTTTATCGATTAATGTGTCGAAATTGTTCTATAAATTTATTTTTTAATTATTTATTATGTGGCTATGCGAATGTTACGTTTTGGTTTTTCTGAATTATACATATAACAATACCTAATATTACCAATTTAATGCACTCTTGTGCCTCCGCTTACGTTCGTGTTTCGATACAAATACCTATCAAGATAAAAAAACATTCTCGCTTGTTTTATTTATTTTTAATCCCAGAAAAAAAGCAAGATGAAATACATTACGATATTAATTAGTTGTATAATTGATCCAAAAAACCTACTTAGAGTAATTATTGAGACTTTTTTAAAGAAGCCCATCATTGAAATACTCTGTATCATACCGTGTAGCATATCGTTAGGCAGGGTAGGAAGGAGCAGCAACGTATAGCGCCTCGTTTCTCGTATATGTATAGCGTCTCGTATAGCATGAGTAATTTACCATCTGAATATGTTGAATTTGAAAAGTCGGATCGTTAGTCAGTAGACCCTTAAGTTTACGACAACACAATGAAATAGTAGGTGGACCAGTAACCCAACTATGAATGATCAATGAGAATAGTGCCTTGTATTTATACACGAAAAAGGATAACCACGGCAACATTTGTCCGTTGACAAAATAAGTACTTGCCTTTTTCATCCTGATTAAAAATATCTAATAGTTAACCACTATCACATGTGAACCTACCCTGTATCTGAGTCCTAACACCTGAGATTCCTTGCGCATACGCCGCAAGTTCTCATGCGTCAAAAACATACTATCCAAAGACATTTTGGTACTAGCACTGCACTGTACACTTCATCGTCACTAGGCCACTCTTGGTCCTTTAAAACAATACACTAACACTTTATGAGGCACCATAAAGGAAGAATTGAAACTCGAAGGGTAGTATTTGTATGTCATAATGCATTATCAGGATAGGAGCGAGCGGTAACCGCGAGTGCGCGCTGGCCGCACGACTGTCGGCGCGTGCGCATGTCGAGCCGATGCTGAAGTAGGGTTGATGCGGCTAGTCAAACAACTATTACAGATGCTAATCAAAAACATTGAGTAAAAGTTATATTTAATACACGATTGTAAAATGCGTGTTAAAAAATAGCAAGCCAGGCCATTATCATATATTCCTGTTGATAATTTATAATTAGAGAATTAGTGATTTGTAAATTATCTATGATGGTTGTAACAATACAATCAATCAATATATGTATAGGTGTACCAGAATCTGAACACAGTCAGAACACAGACTGACACTCTTTTCGCGAATTGGAAAGCATATCAAACTTAAAGTCGTTTTAAAAACTTCAGATGAGAATGAGAACGCAACAAAATAAGGCAACCGATTTTGGAAAAATGCAGACTGCGCAGAGTTTAGCATCTGAGCAATCTGAAAACGTTAATAGAAGACTGGCACAATACTACTTTCCAATCAAAAATAGATTCCCTAACACCAAAAACATCTACAAACTACTCGTTGTAGAAATTTACAAAATATTACAATAGACCTCAAGAAACTAATCCTCTAATAAGAAATATTGGTGACAAATGGGCACGATCACCTCAAGACAAGGCGGATGCAATACTGAAACTCGGGAAACCAGTTCATGAGATGACATCATACAGACCGATAAGCCAAACTCTGAGAAATTTGCTGAAAATATCAACTCAAATCATCAACTCATTGGAAAACAAGCAATAATGTTCCTCTGTGTTCCTGGATGTTCAACAGAACTTTCGATATAAAGAGCTGTATTGGTTGCTGGGCCGTAACAGCAAACTTTCAACAGATAACAAATTACTAATCTACAAGGCCATTTTCTAACCTATATGGATGTATGGCATACAGCTCTGGAGTAGTCTAATATCCAAATATTGCAGCTGATGCAAAATGTTATCCTTCGATCCATAATTATTATTATTATAACCCAAGCACCAAGGCTGCTAACTAACAATGAAATTCACCAACACCTCGAAATGTGTACTGTAAAGGACGACATATATGATGCTTCCAAAAAATATCACGCACGTCTATAAAACCGTCCAAATCAACTTGCTGTCAAATAAATGCGACAAAATTCTAGCGACTAAAACGAAAGGATATCCTTCTGCTACACACATCTATATGATACATATAAACATGTGTAGATGCTCTCGATAGGGGCACACTCAACCGTACAAGAAACCGAGAAAACATCTACTTATGGATATCCATTTTATTGCAGACAAAAACATGAAACAATAAAAATTGCAAAATGCTTCATACAAACTTCCACCCCCATTAAGGGGGGTGGGGGAAGAGAAAGAGACAAAAAAGTATCCTATTTTACTCTCCAGCTATTCATTTGTCTCTACATAAAAAAAAACGCACTAATCCGTAGCTCCGTTGACACGAAACATGGACAAACAAACACATTTATAATATTAGTATGGATACATACCTTGCACTTGGTTCCATCAGATAAAGTAACCGATGTGTTCGGGAGATCTCGCCAGTCTGATCCTGGAGTAGTTGGAATTCTAGATATTCTTGCTTGGATCAATGGTGCCATATTTTTACATATATGGTCGCGTAATTTCACAGTTTCATCTTTAGATCTAACCAAGCGCTGAAAATGACTCTCCGGCATAGAGCCATAGTCGATATCTATTTTGTTAGCTCCGTTACAAATTCGAGGCAAGTCACTCATGGCGTCTTGAATCGTACAAGTTCGTCGAGGCGCTGATTCATCCCAGTGAATGTTGGTCACAAACCTCTTCCCATCTATTGTTGTAGTCAAAGAACAAGCACGTCTGCTAAATACATGAGTCGGTTCAGGATACAAAGGCAGTTTAAATCCAGGAGCTGCTGCCAAAATAATAAGTCTCCTTCTTGTTTGTGGCACTCCATAATTTCCAGCTTGCAGAATGCCAAAAGTACATTGATAACCCATATCCAATAATGCTCTTAAAGTTAATTTTAATACCATTCCTTTCTTAAAAGCTACAAAATTTCTCACATTTTCCAATATAAAATATTTTGGTCTGTAGTAATCACAATATGATAAATAGGACGCTACCAATGAGTTCTTAAAATTGGAATATTCACGAGAATTGAATCTATTCATTCCTGAAAATCCTTGGCATGGTGGACCTCCACACAGTAATTCAACTTCTCCTTGCATTGGAAGTCGTAGTCCACCGCCACTATGAGTAGCTCCAGATATAGCATCTTTCAGTAAAGCGTTGCAGTCTTCATTGAACACAATGCAACTTTTATTATTAAGAGAATAGGCATGTGCAGCAGCTTCTACATTCTCAACAGCCCATCTACATTCCGATATACCAGCTTGATGCAAGCCCTCTGACAATCCGCCACAACCAGCAAATACATCTAAAGTTCTCAAAGGCCTAATTGCAACTTCTTCTTTTTTGGCCATGTTAGGTTCTGCTGGTTTGCTAGACTTTCCTTTACCTTTTCCTTTGTCTTTAACTTTATCAGTACGTCCAACTTTTTCGGCATGTTGGGGAACAGAAACTATCTGTCCTGAAGTTTTATCAAATGCCATTCTGAAATAAAATCTAGTGGGATCTTGTTCTAACCATTTGTGTAAGGATTCTTGATTAGGTATATTTTTTTCATAATATAAGTTGCAAGGGCCGACTACTGCAGAGAAAGGTACTTCTTTGATTTCATCACTCCAATATACAATATTTAGGTCTTCATGTTGAGGAAATCGACTTGTTGTATTTTCTGGTCTATATAGAACATTAACTTTAAGGTATATATCTTGTGGGACAATAAGTGGTCCATCACTAGCTGCTACTACTGCTGCAACATACCCTACACAAAAGGGTTCCATAGTATCCAAATTTGAGCCACGCAAATAGTTATCACTTTTACGATAATATTCAGGATAAATATTTTCGTCAACTTTTTCTAATTTAGGTTTTTGGTTTTTAATATGATTTAAATTGTTTTTAAGCAAAAATGTGCCTGGTTTTAGAAATACTCCGCAGCCTTTCTTATAATCATAATCTTGCCATCTAACTGAAGACCATTCTGTTTTATTTTTTTCAGAAACTATAGCAGATTTTTCAATCAACTTTCCTGACACTTTTGGAATATTTTTTCCATCTTTTCGAGATGTACGTTCACAGGAAGGGCAAAATCTGTGTTTCCTTAAATCATTGGGACAAATTGGGTCTTCTGGTATATCTTCAAATCGAGCAGTAAATCTTTCATAATATTTTTTATAAAAATAAGTCTTCCCATCATCTTCGAAACTTTCATCATTTACTTCTTTACCACCTAATTTAAACCAATCTTTAGGCATATCTTTTCTCTCCACATAAGCTTTTCGTAGTATTGAAGATAAAGGTGCACCATGGCAACATCTATCCCCTAAAAATACTTCTCTAGGATCACTTACTTCACCTAATATAGTGTCAGATGACCTAATAAACACTTCTCCGTGGAAATAACCCGATTTAGGGAAACTAGTGTCTTTCCACATATATGCAACTCTAGCAACTAAGGCAGGAATGTTAGCCTGAGAGGTTTCAATCATAACAAAATCTCCAATTTCAAGTTCAGATCCTTCAATTTCAACTTTTTTATAGTAAATTTTGGTTGCATCTGCTTTAATAGGTTCTCCAATCCAATTTATTTTCCTGCTATTGGTGCCTGTTAATTTGACAGGTACTATATCATCAATTTTATCATGTTGCTTTTTTTCAGCCATTGTGTGGAAGTCATCATCATCATCTAGTTCTGAATCTTCAGCTTGTTCCACAGCCATATTAGGGCATAATCTCCTGGCACATGCCTTTTTAGTTCTTCCATGACCACCAAACTTAGCCATAGCCTTGCAAGCATTACATTCACCACAATCTGGTAGTTGACAAGCTTCACAAACACCACACCTCTTCCTCCTTAAAGTCAATTCATGGTTTGTTTTATCTAATTGATTACTAAAAAAACTTTCAAAAGTTTTTCTCACTAAAGGAGTAGTAGTAGCTTTAGTCCACGCTTTTTTATCTATCTTTTTGTAATCAATTTTGGCTCGTACCTTCCGTTTACCAAATTTTATGCCCATCAATTTAATTATTTCTCGCATACACGGTAATGTTATTAGTGGCTCATCATCTTCTTCTGCTTCTAAACTGACAACTTGATCACAGACAAATTGTGCATGTTTATGAAGCATTTCTTCACTCATTTTCAAGTCGTCCAACTCAGGGATTGTTGATTCCCTAAGCACTTCAAGTAAATCTTCATAAGTTGGTTGTAAGTAATGATACTCTTCTAAATATTCTACAACAACTTTACTCAACCATATCTTTTCATATAAGTTATTCATAAGAGGTGTATACTGTTCACTTGGTTTCAACAAATTGTATTCACCAAATTCAGTTGAAAGTGTGATACAATTCTTTTCACCACCATCAAAGCCATGTATAAACCTGAAAAATTAAATAACAATGAAATATTTGACAATGTCACACACTATTTATTGTTCTTTTCACAGAGTTCCAAATTTTAATGATGTACCTAAGTTTTCAATCAAAATATATACATCATGCAATGTGTATGAATCAACTTTCCCTATTTGGTTTCGGCCACATTGCATGACTTGTCTATTGCTCAATCGACTTTGCTTTTATACTGTCTGTGTTCACTTGACTAGACTATACTAATATAAATAAAGTGGAAAGATTTGATTGTTTGTTTATTTGCCACAAATAGTCTCAGAAACTACTGGATTGATGAAAAAAATTCACCTATATTAAGCTACATCATATGCGGTGACCATAGCTTAATTTTATCCTGAAAAACAGCAAATAAAGGGATGAAAATGAGAGTGGAAGTTTTTATAGGTAATTTAAAATGTTACCATAGTAACCATTGTTAACTATTTAATTTGTCGTTTTAATTATATCTATGTCATAATGTAATGTGAATCAATATCCAAATATACAGTTCCTAAGGACCATGCAGATGAAACCACTGGTGTATGGCTAGTTTAATTATAAAGATGCTTACCACTCAATGATTGGACCAACATCCTTTACTGGTATACATTCATCATCAATGTCAGGTGATTCAGAACAAATGGATTTTAAATACCCTGACATGTATATTCTAATATCATTTTCTATTAATCCCCCATCTATAGGGCATAGATGACCTTGTTCATCAAAAATGGAGAATCCAGTTATATTTGTTTGTGGTCTTTCCATTATATCTCCGTCATCACCTGCAGTACATTTATTTTAGTAACATAACACTATATATATCTAAATATTGTTCAATATGACTGCATTACTCAACTCCTTCTTTATTTTGGTTAATATGTAACCAAAAATAAAGATATTTGATCAATTTTGCATTCACAATGCTATACTGAAAAATATTCCTAATGAAAAAAACTTAAAACATCCACTTTGTCCCCAGCACTCTGAGTTTGGGTGGATTGCCATAGATGAAAATACACTCTGTAGTAGTGAAAAAGTTACAAGTACTTGAAAAATTTGTCAGTTCTGTTAGGTCCTGGGTAGCCCAGTAGTTAGTGCAGATGCTAGGATTGTGAAAGTTCATGTGTTGGAGGCGAATCTCAGAGTACCAGGGACAATGTAGATTTCTTCAGCTATTTTCATTACAAAATAAAGATCAATTAAAAGTGACTACAGTTAAACAGATAATTAAAAAGTGTTTACAATCAAAGTCGTACCAACAAAGTCATATTAATAGAATAACAATAAAAGAATATTTTAATACTGTAACTGGACATAAAATATTTAAATATTCTCTATTATCAGATATTATAAAAAAAGGAGAATATGATACAATTAAAATAAGCCTCCAGTGTATGAACTCCCTGATGAAGTTCATAAACATACTACATAATAATTATATAATTAATGTTATCACAAGTCAGTAAACACCGAAGGACAACTGAACTGCGCTTGTTACATGTATTTTACTAGATATTTGTGAAACAGACTTCAGCATCAATCGACTATAATTTCTTTCCAGATGTTATTGTATTATACATTTTATTTACCTGAAGCTAAAACCAATTTTTCATTAGTGAGGGCTATGAATTCTTCTATTGCATCTTGTGGATGCCCTTCATAATATATAATATCAGAGTTATTTAAAAATTGACCACATATATCACATTTCTCTGTGTTTACATATGATTTTCCATTTGTAATAGTGCCTTCATTATCATCAACATCAGAATCAGATCTATCCACAGAAACATTACTAGATTTATTAGTACAATCATCTTGCTGGTTGTGTTTTTCAATTTCTTTATCATTATTTTGTACTATAGCCTCTTTTTCATCACTAAAGTTAGACTTTCCATTATTATTGTAATGATCATTGAGCTTGGGCTTTTTCTGGAATAATATTACAAAGGAATAAATCACTCATGATGCAAACACATACTAAATAGATATAAGCAAAAGTACAATAACTTACACTTGAAATTTCATCACTGTCTTTTTGGGGACTTCTAGTTCTTTTTGTAGAAAGGAAGTCTGTTATGCTTTTCTGATTTCCGTTGCGAATTGGTATGATTGATCTAAAATTAAGACTTCGAAAGTCATACAATAATGTCAATATAAGTAAACTATCAAACTTAAAATTATTCTGGTATACCTTTGAACTGACAAAGATTGATCGGCTAGATCATTTCTTTCTACGTCTAGACTTCGGTTTTGCAGTGGACTATGAGACCCCAGACTTTTGAGTGTCGCCGGCATATCAAATGGTTACTACACTTGTCGGCTTGATTTATATGTACATTTTTTGTATTAATAGATCAGCAAATATTATTTCACTATGACTAGTTACCTAATAAATATATTTCTCTCTCTTTTTTAAAATTACAACAGAAACACAAAGAATCGTCACAAATCAGCGCGCCAAAAGACGACTGACATTGACAATCTTTGACACTGACACACACAGCTGACATTAGGATATTCAAATATCGTTGATATATCGAAAGTACTCGATGTTTCCATACGATATATCGGATTGTTTCGATGTTTTGATAATTATTTTTCTATTCAATATATCGAATATCGATACATATATAAAAAAATATCGAATCGATAAATAACGTTGACAGCATACTCATGATGACAATAAAAGCTAAAGTAAATTTTAACATTACAAAATTTTCACATTGATTTTTTTATTTTTATAACATGACATCAAGTTTTCAAACGTCCTAGGGCAAAGATTTGTTTGCGAGTTGTACTCGGCAACTAAGTTTTGCCAAGCCAATTGTTTATCTTTTGGTGTAGCCCATCTGTTTTCTTGTTTTCTATAACAGGATATTTCTCCACTAATTTTAAAAGGTGCATTTTTTCAGCAATTGTGGAATTAAGTGCCCTGGATCTCTCCATTATTTTAGTTCGGCAGTACAAACGGTTTATTGGTATTTTTTAGTAATTAATAAACACTTTTACTCTACTTTACGAATAACTACGAATGTTGAAATGGCGCGGCGTCTTCAAAAAAATGTATGTTGATATTGAGTTTTGACAACAACGATGATGACGTTTGTTTTCTAAATTGATTTTATGGGGCCGAACTCTAGTCTTTTCATCAAAAATGGAACATAAGGGATTGAGTCGTTTTCATCCGTGGGAGATTACCCTGAGTGACCCCACACGTGATCCTGGGTGGTGCTAAGCAAGCGACAACATACTGGTGGTAGGCTTAAGACGTGACTAGTGACCACCCACTGAACAAAGCCGTGGCGCCAAACGGCCTAACCGTGTTCCGCCACGATGTTCGGTGACGCCATTAGTGGAGATAGGTCGAAGCGGTTGTTCCTTTCCTCGATGCCGATTTCTGGTTTGTTTCATGCTGGCGCTATCGGGTAGCTGGTCATGGAGGGTAGCGGGATCCAAGGCACGGTGCTCCGCTGGCCGACCGCAGTTTGGAGGGGGCCCAACTAGTGAGCTAGCCACTCATGAAAGGCTGCCCCGCCAACTAGCGAAAAATCCCGGAGTGCGCCATCATGCCGGTTGGCGACCGGATGTAAGGGCCTGATGGACAACTCCGGGAGGGCTCGGAAGTCCCCGCAGTCTCCAGACCAGTTCCCCATCACCAGTTCGCCAACAAGGCGTAGGTATGGAGCAAGTGTTTCACTTCTAGCCTTACACTGAATCACTCCTTCACATGAAAATAAGAAAGAGAAAAAAGGCTCAACAGCGGATGCACTCCCTTACACTCAAAGTGCACCTCACTAATATAAAAGGTCTGCACTCAAATATCATGCCGGTCCATCACCACCTGGAGATCGTAAAGCCTACACTCTTCTTTCTTACGGAGACGCAGATAGGAAATCCGTCAGACGCGTCGTACCTGTTGTACCCCGGATACTCCTTAGACCAGAATTTCAAGCGGAAAGCCGGGATATGCCTTTACATCCGCGACGACATTTGCTATCGGCGTCTCCGTAATTTAGAGGACCCCAGATTCTCTGTCCTTTGGGGTTTTGTGGACACAGGTCAAGAGAAGATACTCTACCGATTGCACACAGGAGACGTGGAGGCAACTAGGTTTCACGAATATCTCGTCGAGGCGGCGGATGCTGCCCAAGTGACGTACCCGACGGCCCAACTTGTGTTTCTGGGGGATTTTAACGCCTGTCACGAGACGTGGCTATTCCCATACCGGAAAACAGACCATGCCGGGAGAGAGACGCGTAAGCTCGCTTTAGCGTTAGATCTCACACAGCTAGTCCAATGTGCTACTCGGGTACCTGACGTCGAAAGGCATACACCCAATTGCTTGGACCTTCTGCTGACAACCGATCCAGACCGATACTCAGTGTCGGTATCGGCTCCCTTGGGTAAGTCCAATCACTGCGTGGTGAAATCTGTATCGGCCTACAACCAGCCCAACATCGGCCATACCGCCATGGCGGTTATGGCGATACAAGTCAGCAGATTGGGATGAGATGCGATCTTTCTTTGCATCCTTGGCAGTCCGTATGTTTTTCCTCAAACAATCCGTCAAGCTGCGCGGACGCTGTGACTGAAGTACTTCGACAGGGTATGGAATACTTCATTCCGTTTTCCGACGTACCGACGTCCAACAAAGCTCAACCTTGGTTTGAGGCTGAATGTAGATACGCTGAAGCGTTGAAGCAAGAGGCTTACCTGGCCTGGGTTGATGCTCGACACCGCAAGGCAAATGACATACGTGAGAGGAAACGAAAATTGGAAGCGACGCTCTTTGGCAAAAGAGAGTACTAAGTCTTGATCATCGCCGCAAAGTCGCTGGTCTATCGGTCTTCTATCGGTTACATTTCGGCGAGTGTGCATCGGAATTACACGACTTAATGCCGTAATCCTCTTTTCATTATCGTACAACCAGGAAGCATCACCGTTTTACTGTGAAGATTCCACAAACTCGCACAAGCGATTCGCCTCTACATTCATCGTGCGAACTGCGAAGCTGTGGAATTCGCTCCCCGACTCGCTGTTTCCGGGCAAATACAATCTGGGACTCTTCAAGTCAAGAGTGAATCGGTTCCTTCTAGACAAGCACGCTCCATCTTAGACCACTGCATTGCTTACCATCAGGTGATCTGTGGTCAAGTGCTAGCCTATCTAAATTAAAAAAAAAATAAAATAAGGAATTAATGAAGAACGAATGATATGCTGAATTTTCTGCAATCTGCAAGATAACTTTAGTTAGATTTAAGTTAAGTCGAGTTTAAGGATTTAATTAAATCGAGATTTTGGAAATTTTACTGTAAGTGGGCCTAAAAAAGGATAACATTAAATTTTTCTAAAAAATACTCCATATTTAAAAAATATCGTTGTTTTTATACGACATATAAAAAAAATCGATATTTTATATCGAGTATTCATATCGAAATAATTTTTAAGTGGACACCCCTAGCTGACATTAGAGGTGAAAATAACTGCTTAAAATTTTTAAGCGTTGTTATGTTGTACGATTTTGAATAAGCCTTTTTAAAAACTGCTTATTGCTTAAACGCTTTTTTTTTCAACTGACGTTTTGAAATCGTTATAATAAGTGTGCAACGTTCGGTTATCACTACATAGTATAAAACAAAGTCGCTTTCTCTGTCCCTTTATCCCTATGTTGCTTAAATCTTTATTGATGCGGTTTTTTTTTCATAGATAGGGTGATTCAAAAGGAATGTTTTTATGTTTAATACAAGACCATAATAGTTTTACCGTTTCTCGACATTTTATTTACACAATCTTAAAACTAATTCATAACAAAACTTATTTACATTGTTTATTTAGGAATAAACAAAAGTCATTACTTAAGTAGCAATTTATTGACGCATACAATTCAACTTACGCAATTAATTAACATTCAACACAATGTGCACTTACTTCAACAACGAAAAGCGTACTGCTTTTTAAGTTCTGTTTAAAAAAGTGTTTGGATCGGACAGTCGGGGCCCATTCAAATTTTACCAATAAAATCTTCCTAAGGGGCCCCGGCTTTGAGTCGTTCTGTTCTGTATGACTTCCCTGAATTCTAAACTACTGGGCTTGATAATAATAATAATAACTCATTTATTGCATGTCACATAGTAAAACAGGTGTTATTATTAGGTATAGTTTATGTGACACCCAGTAAGGTTGTAGCAAATTTAAATTTAAATTTCATTGTAAATAGTAAATGCTTTAAATAAAATCTTCTATATCTTCACTTTCCTCAATATCTTACATTCATAAAATTTCATTTAAATTCACATTTGTCCCTAATTTTCATTTTAAAAATAATCATAAGTATATAAAATTAATGTTAATTGTCAGGTAATTTTTAATGAAGTACAATAAATGTCAAATGCTTAGAATTAAAAATTATAAATTATGTCACAATGTAGATGTCAAAACAAAACAAAAGTTAAATTGTCAAGGAAGAAAGAAAAACATGGTATGTCAACGGCAATAAAATATTACAATTTGTCATCAAAATATTCTTGGACATTATAATAACACTCGTCAATGAGAATTTGCTTCAATGTCGTTACAAACTTTTGACGTGGATACGTCTATGTTTTCGTTCTACAGGGGGGTCATTCTGTGAGCAGGAGTATATGCACTAACGCCATCTATTGGTGTATAAGTGAACTATGCTTGCTCTGCAGGGGGACGGGCATTCTGTCAGCAGGAGTATATGCACTAACGCCATCTGTTGGCGCTAGTGAATACTTTTTTCATTCAACAAATGAACGCAACGAATATTTATTTATTTAGTGTTTAGTGTCTTCAATTTGTTTATTTATTTTTATTTACTTAATTCTTTATATAAGTATAGTTTTACAAAGAAACAAATATGGGTAGAATAAATAAATGTAGGGTGCTTTGTTAAAAGCAAAAACGCACTGCAAAAGTAAATGGTATCGAACATCATAAAAATCTTTTTCACCCGAATTTTATCGAATTCCATCTTAGTGTATCTGGAACTGGTGAATTTTTTAAATATCAACAATAATGATGATTTTTTTTTATCAATTACTCATATATCCATTCATATTTCTTATTTTATTTCTATCTTTTTAGTTTTTATTCAAGTTAATTTTTTTAATGTAATTTTTAAAATTAGTTTTTACGCAGTCGGGTTTTTTGTTTTTCTTTAAATTATTTATTTAGAAAAGCGTGCTTAATTAAGTGCTTTGCGTTTAAACGTCTATGTCTAGCTGACATGGCGATGCGACTTTTTTTTTAATAATAACATTTTTGACTTGGATAATGATACAAAATTCTTAACTCAGTAGCTGTCTTCAGAGTTGGCGCTGAAAACTGACTTATATTTAATGGTGTCCGGAATTGATTACCGTCATGGAATGCGAAAGCACATCCATAAAGAGGTTGGCTTCACAGAAATCCCCCGACTTACCAAAGACAAATCATTCCACTCCCAAATCGGTCTCACAACCCCCCCTCCCTTCCCCCGAAACCCTCTCAAGCGGCGAAGCCGTCACCAAAGGCTTCTGCCTCATCTCCTAAAACCTCTATATAAAATTTCAATTTTTCAAATTTCGAACTTTTTAAATTTCAGTTTTTTAATATGTTAGTTAAAAGGAACAGAAATGACTGTCTTGGTCCATTCGTTTCCTGCAATGCAAAAAATCAAGTTTTGCTAGAATCACCATCTAGCGGAGGTGCTTTTTAGTGCTTTCGTTTTTTTTTAACTTCCTCATAGGGCTCTTAACAATGACACAGTTAAAGGGGCAAGGTTCATAAAAATATCGATATATTGAGTTCAAAATATATCGGTTACAGTTGACATCTATTTATCACTTCACGGAGCTGTGAATCGATATATTTTTTAATATATGTAAATACATGAATGTTTGTAAAAGCCTTATATTAATAAAATAAGTTCAATCATAAGTGTATTTTAAAAAATTGGCCAATAATTGGTGGCGGCAATTCAATGGCTACTAAGCTTGTTCTTACTTCGTGTAACATTGGTTGGAACCTGTACGCATAGCATCAAGCAGCTTAACACTTGCTAATTTAGCACGATAAACAAATCGGTGTGCTATTAATAAGCATGCTCTTATCGTATGCTTTATATTCTTCACAAAATGAAGTCTATAGTAAACGTACCAATACACAGAAAAGTATAGAAACAACCTTAACTATAATACGTTAAGTTTTCAATCCTAAGAATATTTGAATATTTTTATTGCACTCACTTACAAATCGAAACGCTTGCATCAATTCAATTCTTTTACGATACGATACGGTTTGATATCCCATATTTATAAATATCAGATATCGGAGATACCGAATCCAACTTATCGCATCCATGCAGCAATATAGTGTTTCAATATCCATATATGATTTGTATCGCCCACTCCTATTTAGAATCAAATTGAATCTATTTAGTCTTATTACCGCTTTAAATAGAATGTGATTTGATTGGAAATAAATGAATTTGTTAACGCTTTATTGAAATTAAGCATAAATTATAATAATAATTAACAAATTCTATCATAAATTTTAAAGCAATAAAGTAACAAAATAAAGTCACACGTTGTACTAATTTCCCACATGAAGATGGCGTTGTTGGTTAAAATTTGGATCATTTATATTCATTAACTGTGCATTTCATATTAGATTTAAAGATCGATATGATTTTTTGCGTCGATACATCGATATGTTTCGGTTTATAAAAAAGAACTGATACTGGTCTGTGCCTACTGCCTTACCTACCACCTATGCCTACCACATTTCATTTTGTTTTATTTTAGTGACCGAGTGACAGATTCATATTATAGTAATAGCTGAGCGATTTTTTGTTTAGTGCGTCAAACGTGAATCGTCAGTGATATTTTATGAGTTACTTTAACGATGGAGAGCAAAAATTCCGATGAACTCCTAGAGCAAGGTCCTGTTGAAAATGCATGGTCGATGAAAATCCCAAAATTCACACCTGAAGATAACCCCCACGGTTTATTAGAGGAAAGTAAGTTTGCTACTTTATTTCCAAAGTACAGAGAACAGTATCTAAAAGAATGTTGGCCACTGGTACAGAAAGTATTGAAAGAACATAACTTAATATCTGAAATGGATTTAATAGAAGGCAGTTTAACTGTCAAAACAACCAGAAAAACTTGGGATCCTTATATCATAATTAAAGCTAGGGATCTAATGAAACTCTTGTCCAGAAGTGTGCCATTTGAACAAGCTGTAAGAGTCCTAGAGGATGAAATTGGTTGTGACATAATAAAAATAAATTCGATTGTTCGAAAAAAGGAAACCTTTTTAAAAAGACGACAGCGTTTAATTGGCCCAAATGGAGTGACATTGAAATCAATTGAGTTATTGACAGAATGTTATGTACTTGTACAAGGGAATACTGTGTCTGCTGTTGGTCCCTATAAAGGACTTGTTCAAGTAAGACGAATAGTTGAAGATACGATGAAAAATATCCATCCAATGTATAATATCAAAAGTCTTATGATAAAAAGGGAATTAATGAAAGATCCCAAATTGAAAAACGAAAATTGGGACAGATTTTTACCAAAGTTTAAAAGTAAAAATGTACCAAGAAAACAGCCTAAAAAGATTAAAACGAAACCTTATACTCCTTTCCCACCTCCACAGATAGAAAGCAAAATTGACCAAGAACTTGCAACAGGAGAATATTTCCTTAAAGATGAACAAAAGAGGGCAAAACGCCGACATGAGAAAGAAGAGAAACAAGCTGAAGCAAAACGATCAAAACATGAGCAAAGACAAAAAGATTTCATACCACCTGAAGAGAAACCTGTTGAGACTTCTAACCCTGATACTGCTGTAAATATCAAACAACTTAAAACAAAAATGAAGAAAATTTCCAAACACCTTAATGGATGTTAATTAAAGGAAATGTAATAAGATAAAACTGTGTCTATTAATAATTTTATTAAATAACTATAAAATCATTATTTTTTTATTTTTGCTAACTTCAAATCTGGAATACTATTTCTAACAATATACTGTTTGCCACCAGTAAAGGATTGCAGTGTCTTGGGAATTGAAATTTTTCCTTTGGGGTCTTGATTATTTTCAACAAGTGCTATTAGCATTCTTGGAATTGCACATGCGGTACCATTTAGAGTGTGTACATATCCATGGTGATTACCATCCTTAAACTTTATATTCAGTCTTCTAGACTGATAATCAGTACAATTACTGCAGCTAGAAATCTCTCCATACATATTACGTCCTGGCAGCCATGCTTCAATATCATATTTTCTGTATAAATCAGATAACCATTTGATATCTCAGTACACACTTAAAAAAATTATAGCTTAAGCAGACAAACAATTCTATATAGATATGTAAATGTATATATCTATGAACAGATTATATTACCGATATGCTGGTGCTCCTAACTCATGAGGTGGCATGTCCAAAACTCTCATATGAAACCCTAAGGCTGCAAATAATTCTTCTTGTGTTTGCCTGATGTATTCTAGCATGCTTTCTGAATTTTCAGGGGTAGTTACAGCAAACATCTCAACTTTTGTGAATTGATGTACTCTGAAAAAACAACATTATTATCTATTCCTATTTTAGATTTTCTTTAACTTTACTGCACCATAAAACGGTTTCAATATGAAAAACTTAAAGTGATAATAAAATAGTTGTGCTATGATTGTAAAACTAGAACTGTAGACCAGTAGTTAAATACATTTTTTGTTCAGCTTTTATTCTCATTAAGACATCACTTTCAAGAGAACATATGAACGTATTTGAGACCAAAAGTGAAGTTAATAATAATAATATATAAATAATTATTTATTTCTTTCATTAGTATGAACTTCCAAGTTATGCAGGTATATAACATGGTGTTAATTTCAGATTACTAATTGTTGAATGATTCATTTCTTATATGATGTTACATTAAAATTTATACAAAACAATATGAAAGTTTGAGTTTACCAGGGTAGTTGTGACATTTTTTATAAATAATAATTTAACTATGTGGCAATGCTCATTTGGTGCTAATGGCATCTGATAACAGATTCTCAAATTTAAATAAGTAGTCCAATTTATTTATGGTGGAAACTTAATTGATTTGTGAAATTGTTTATATTATTTTATTTGACTGTGTAAAAATATTGTTTGTTTCCCAAATACTAATAAAATAAAAATAAAATATAATAAATTAACTAAAACTGCCTACCTATAAATACCTCTTTCTTCAATTACATTAGATGTTTCAGCACGGTAACATCTGCTCACAGCTGCTAGTTTTAGAGGCAAACTGTCCTTTTTGTGAATAGTATTCATTAATAAACCTGCCAATGACATTTCAGCTGTGCCAGATAGATAGAGATCTGGGCCATGGTGATGTGGATCCAACGAATATATCTAAAATAAGTTCCTAATAAGATTCCTGAAATGGTAAGTCCTGGAATCTGCTGAAATTTTTGTAGTCTCATTAATTTTATATTGCTTACCTGTGTTCGATTATTGTTTATTGTAATACCACAACTCTCAAGAATTTTACTTGGTAAAATATCAGGCACTGATACTAATTTGAATTTTTTGTTCAAAAGAGAAGAAATGGTGTACTTGATCAACGATTCTTCTAACTCTGCTAACCCTCCCAAGAAATAATAACTTTTATGCCCACATGTATAACCTAATTTATCTGTTCTCATTAAATTTAGTCTTCTTGTTATTTCACTGAATTCCAAAGGTTCATAATCTGTAAAACTTTTTTTTTCATTAAGTTCATGGACTACACTAGGATTTTCCTCATATTGCTGTACTACAGGATGTGTTTTATTAGGAAGAATACTGAGTTCTTTGTAGAGATTATGTTTTAGGGAAGAATAAGAGCCGTCTGTAACAGGGGTAGATTTCATTAACTTATAAACGTTTAATACGCGCTCAATATCCCCTATGCCCTTTCTTTGTTTTATGTTTTGTTTAATCTCATGAAAATTGTTGGAATTGCAGTAATAATCAATATCAACATCGGGAAAAGAAGAATATGAATAAGATCTATTGTAAATTAATTTCCGTAGAAATTTAACTCTTAATATAGAATAGAAAACCATTTAAACTGTTTTTGCAGCAAGGAAATCAAATTGGCGTTTAGAAATATTATTCTTCTTCTTCTTTTTTAATTCATGGCCTATCTGCATTTACACAATTCCGCCAATGTCACGTTTGTGGTCTTTACACGTATAGAAACAATAATAAAATATGTAAAATTTTGAATTTAAATAAAATAAAAAAAATAGCTCTGAGCGCGTCTATCTGATTACATTGTTAAAGATAATACAAATAGAATGTATATAGAAAACAAATATATTTATAAATTAAGACTATTATTGATTGCAAAGAATTTTGCTAAAATTTTGAATGGGCTGGGATTCTCCATACTCAAGATACATTTTATATTTGTTGGAAGTGGAACTTTTGATGGTAGCAAATCATAAAGCGAAATGGATGAATTTGAACAATTAAATAAAATATGATCCGTAGTTCCTTCCTCAATGCCACAATCGCAGAGGGGGTTGTCTTTAATTTTAAATTTGGCAAGTCGAACCGGCGTACACACATGTCCAATTCTCAGACGACAAATAATTGAAATCGTTTTTTTACTTAAAAGCTTTTCCTTAAAGAACCAGGGAGTACTGGGGATATTTCTCTGAATTTCAAAATAATACTTTCCCGCTCTATTTCTAGTATTTTCCCAATCAACATTCCATGACCTCATTGAATGTTCATGTGCTAGTACAAAGAGATCGTGATGAAAAAGTTTGGAATATTTTAAAGAGCCAGTTATAACAGCTAGCTTAGCACATGCATCAGCTGTCTCGTTCCCAGGAATACCACAGTGTCCCGGTATCCATGCGAGGGTAATGAGCAGCTTCTTAAGATGGCACCTATGCAATGCTTGTCTTATTTTAAATATTATTGGAAATTTATTTTTAGAACGAAACGGATGTGATATTATAGACTTTAAGCAACTCTGTGAATCTATGAAAACGATAGTTTTGTTAAAGTTATGAGATTCGGCAAATAGGATGGCCTCAAGGAGAGCTAAAGCTTCTCCTGTAAATACAGAAGAGAGAGAGGGAATTTTGAAACTTAATACTAATCTGTGAGCGGGAATCCATACTGCTGATCCAACTGGATCATTAACATGCTGCTTGGACGCATCAGTGTACATAGAAATCCAGCCTTTATATTCCGATGCTAATTTCCGTGCCATTGTACGCATGGCATATGGAAAGTCTTTGTCGATTCCAAAATCAAGAAGAATGATCGGCTCAAAAATAAGTGATTCAAAGCTATTTTCAAAAAGAGGAAGACGAGAATACCGTTCTATGGGAAGGGAAGGAGTATGGAATTTTTTGTAGCTATGGAGGATACAAGAGACACCTACCGATGAACTGGAGGAAGTACTAGAAACTTTCAACAATATTTCTAATCTTTTAAGTAAAGGATGGGATGCACGTTGTATAACTTTAAGGAAAAATCGATCACTCAAAAATTGCCTACGCAGATACATAGGGGGATCAACGCATTCGATCTGGAGATTATTGATAGGAGACGATTTCATGGCACCTATAATAATCCGCAAGCATTTTGATTGAAAATTTCTAAAATTTTATCAAGTGGCAACTTATTACATGGGTCTAAAAGAAAGGAACCATAATCGAAATGACAGCGGACTAGGGCATTATATATTAATTTTTGAGTGAATGGATGAGCACCCCACCATACACCCGAAAGAGCACGGAGAACATTGACCCCTTTCTCGCATTTATTTACAACACTATGGAAATGAGGAGTTCCTGATAATTTAGAATCTAGAATAACGCCTAAAAATTTTACTTGGTTATTCATGGGAATAGGGACATCTTGAAAAACTATTTGAGCTGTAGGAATGTTACGCTTTCTGGTAAACACTACACTGCAGCATTTAGAACTGATAGTGATAAGCCGTGATCCATTAGCCAATCACCAAGATAACTTAACGCAGTATTGAGACGAAAGCAAGCTTCCTCGATTGAATTCGATCTTATATAGAGGGCTTATTATTATTATCTTATTATTGAATATTATGAAAATCTCTTGCTTGCACGACAATGTTGCCCGATTTTCTTCTTCTATTTTTTTTATTTATGGCTTTTTTTTTCATAATATGGCAGGCACGGCTTGTGCATTTTGCCAATGTCAAGTAAAAAATTTGGGAAACGAATAGGAAAGTGGTGTATTTATGGCTTATCTCTTGCTTTTCAGCGCATTTTTTTTCAATATGGACTTGTTCCGTTTTACACGGAAATTTCCCAATATTCTGCCAATGACAATGCCAATTCTGACTTCATTTTATTCTTTTTTTAATTCATTGCCTACTTGCGTTTACACAATTCCGCCAATGTCACATTCGTGGTCTTTATACGTAAGGAAACAATAATAAAATATGTCAATTTTGAATTTTGGGGTAAAAGAAAAAAACAACAAAAAGAAAAAATTATAAGCGCGTCTATCTGATTACATTGTTAAAGATAATACAAATAGAATTTATATAGAAAACAACGATATTTATAAATTAACACTATTATCGATCGCTAGGAATGTAGATTAAATTTAGTACGGGCTTGGGTTCTCCACACTCTCAATGAGGAAGTATTTAAAAAAAACACATAATCAAAATCAAAATTTATTATTCAGTTTAGGCTTTTACAGAGCACTTGTGAAAGTCGATGATAAGTTCTTGAAATTAAACTCAATGGAAAGAAGGAAATCAATTTGTAATATACTACATGGAACAGATCGAGCGACACTACCGAGGTTCCTGAAGAATACTTTTTGTCTATTAAACGATGTAAAAAAAAATATATGTCTAGGTATAATATTTTTCGGAGTTATTCAATTACAAAGATTTTGTAAATAAATGAGTGTTTTCAACCCTTAATCATCTGTTTTTGGGACGTACTAAGGAACAAATTTTTTATTTGTTATCAGTTCTGAATTTCTAAGAACGAAATAATTTTTTGATTTATTAGACGACTTTCTTACAAATTCTACCAGACACTAACTAAATAAAGCAGTCAAAATGCTTAAATCAATTAACAGACGGTTTCCGATAGTAGAAAATCTCAACTAATTATTTTCTATAAGTAACTGAAGTTCTTAATGTTTCACAAGTCAAAAGTCCTAGTTTTATCAAACTGGTCGTTGACAACAACGGGATCGTTATTTAAACTCTATGAACTAACAAACCTTCCAGCGGTTCATCATTAACACATATGTCCTTTGTTTTAAAAACATTGAAGAATTTGTTATTATAATTGTATTTAAATAATTGTATTTAAAAAGAACATTAAAAATGCGTGATATCAAAAGACGAATTAAAAAAGGTGAACTGAGTTCGTCCCTGGATATCAAAGCCAACCCCGCCCGCCAGCCGCATGCGCTAACCAATCACAGCTCAGTTCTCGCTAGGCGGCCTCATTGTTCTGGCCAGTTCTGGTCATCGTTTTTCCACTTGCTCAGTCTCCGCCGATCGTTTGCGTTGCGCCGGAGTAACCACCGATTATTTAGTTTTAACCAAACCAACCAAAGATTACAATATCATATTGGAAATAGAAAACTCAAACTTTAAATAGGTCACGATTACAGCGCCATCTTTCCGCCAGCTGAAACCTATGTGTGTACAGCTACCATACTATGCGTAGACAGAGTTTGTCTACGATACTATGGGTATGTTCCGATATACACTGCGAGCACTGCGCAGTGGTCTTACTGCTGAAAAATCCGTTCCGTTATGGACTGCCAGTACACTGCTACTGTACCCTAGGGAAATTTATGTTCAATGCTAACATTTATAAATGTTCAGTGCGAATAAAATAAATCAATAGGTTGATTTCAATGAAAGACTTGTTATTTTTGTAACTTTATTAACCATCTTATTTCAAATGATCATTAGTGATCCCCATAGTTTTTCTCTTTCTACTTTTATTTTTTTATCTTTATTTCATCATATCTATTGTAAAATGTGATTTTGACATTGATTAAATGATTAACATTTTTGCACCATTATTTATAAAAATACTGCACATTTCTACGTTATGAATTCTTTTGATTGAATTTGGCGTTCTGTGCATTGTAAAAAAATTCAAATCTAAATTAATTTTTATGATTAACTTTATATGCACTAAACTACCTATAGCTATGCATGACTAAAAATAATTGAAATGAGCTTCTAATTGAAGGAATAAGTTTTTATTAGTTATTTTTTTTAATTGCAATTTTCTTTTAAAAGTTCTATTGATACGTTTTCAGCATTGGCAACAAAGTCATATAGGTTTCAGGTAGGATAGTACAACCAGCTTTTGTTTTCAAATTCTTTTAAAATAATATAATTATGAACTATCTGCTTTTCTTTAGCTTCTATGTTATTTTAAAAAAATAAACATTTTTTTTCTCTGCTAGTTGTGCTAGAGTCTGGCAAGCGAAACGTGTCACAAGAAAAGGGCGGCAATTTCAAAAATTCTTAAGCAGTAAACACTGAATGTAGTACTGCAAAATAATTTTGATACTTTTATTAATTATATTTAATCTTAACATTTAGATATCAATTAAAATTATTTGTTTTGGAACATTTGACTAAAGCGTGACTGTTCTTAATTGTACAGTTAACAGCATATCAGTAGGCCTATTCACTAACTCAACTGACAACCAAGAATCGTCATCACCGTAAAAAATAGACACTTTGATTGTGTCAAAATCACTATTTCGTATTCTCTATCAATGATGAGCAATTTCGAAATGTCAATATCGGCATTCTCCACTGGACTCCATTTTGACACTTGATTTCGTATCGATAAACTGTATTAAAGTAACATTGTTGCAAAGCATATTTGAAGTCGTCGCATAGTACCTCTTAAGCCATTTGTTGTTAAATTAAAGCGAAAAAAAATACGTATCCAATATTTTTCTATTATCTGACTGACGGACTAAATCGAATCTTTTTTTTAACCCATTCGTTATACCTATTGGCTAACAGCACTTATAATATTAAAAATTCATATTTGTCATT